CCGGCTCTCACAGACCTGTTAGTTTTTCTTTAAGAAGCACTCCTGTTCTCCACTCATTACCTGTATTAACTGCACCTGTTTGAACTCGTTAACTGTATAAAAGACACCTGTCCACACACTCAATCAAACAGACTCCAACCTCTCCACAATGGCCAAGACCAGAGAGCTGTGTAAGGACATCAGGGATAAAATTGTAGACCTGCACAAGGCTGGGATGGGCTACAGGACAATAGGCAAGCAGCTTGGTGAGAAGGCAACAACTGTTGGCGCAATTATTAGAAAATTGAAGAAGTTCAAGATGACGGTCAATCACCCTTGGTCTGGGGCTCCATGCAAGATCTCACCTCATGGGTCATCAATGATCATGAGGGAGGTGAGGGATCAGCCCAGAACTACACGGCAGGACCTGGTCAATGACCTGAAGAGAGCTGGGACCACAGTCTCAAAGAAAACCATTAGTAACACACTACGCCTTCATGGATTAAAATCCTGCAGCGCATGCAAGGTCCCCCTGCTCAAGCCAGCGCATGTCCAGGCCCGTCTGAAGTTTGCCAATGACCATCTGGATGATCCAGAGGAGGAATGGGAGAAGGTCATGTGGTCTGATGAGACAAAAATATAGCTTTTTGGTCTAAACTCCACTCGCCGTGTTTGGAGGAAGAAGAAGGATGAGTACATCCCCAAGAACACCATCCCAACCGTGAAGCATGGAGGTGGAAACATCATTCTTTGGAGATGCTTTTCTGCAAAGGGGACAGGACGACTGCACCGTATTGAGGGGAGGATGGATGGGGCCATGTATCGTGAGATCTTGGCCAACAACCTCCTTCCCTCAGTAAGAGCATTGAAGATGGGTTGTGGCTGGGTCTTCCAGCATGACAATGACCCGAAACACACAGCCAGGGCAACTAAGGAGTGGCTCCGTAAGAAGCATCTCAAGGTCCTGGAGTGGCCTAGCCAGTCTCCAAACCTGAACCCAATAGAAAATCTTTGGAGGGAGCTGAAAGTCCGTATTGCCCAGCGACAGCCCCGAAACCTGAAGGATCTGGAGAAGGTCTGTATGGAGGAGTGGGCCAAAATCCCTGCTACAGTGTGTGCAAACCTGGTCAAGACCTACAGGAAACGTATGATCTCTGTAATTGCAAACAAAGGTTTCTGTACCAAATATTAAGTTCTGCTTTTCTGATGTATCAAATACTTATGTCATGCAATAAAATGCAAATTAATTATTTAAAAATCATACAGTTGAAGTGTACCTATGATAAAAATTACAGACCTCTACATGCTTTGTAAGTAGGAAAACCTGCAAAATCGGCAGTGTATCAAATACTTGTTCTCCCCACTGTATATGAGCTATAGTGCCTTAACTTCATCAGGGCTGTTGATTAGTTATATTACTAATCTGCAGTAACTAGCACATTGGTTTAGTACTGCAAATGTGGGTTATATTGACTGATTTACTTGCTTAGAGCTGGAGATTAGTTTTCATAGCATACATTACAGTAACAATTTACTCCTGAGGTGTTGAACTGCTGCCCCCTCTATAACCACTGTGGTTATTATTTGACCCTCCTGGTCATCTATGAATTTTTGAACATCTTAAAGAACGATCTGGCCAGAAGAGGACTGGCCACCCCTCGGAGCCTGGTTCCTCTCCAGGCTTCTGCATCTGCACTGCTTGCTATTTGGGGTTTTAGGCTGGGTATCTGTATAGCACTTTGTGACAACTGCTGATGTAAAAAGAGCTTTATAAAATACATATGGTCTTGCATACTGTCATTTATATTTTAACAGTAGACTTACCATATTAGGGATTGTGATTATAATAGCCAGATGTACTCTGTGGGGGCTGGAGTTTATTGTGCCTTGTGGAATAATACAAAAATGAGAAATACATGAGGAATCAATTGGACTAGTACAAACCATAGCTATATGAGACCGTCTGACCTTTATTGACCCCCATTGACTGATGACTCATATTAGTCTATTGTCCATAAAATGCTGCTAATCTGGGTTTTAGAGTTCTGTTATATCATAATTGTTATACTTTCACTTTATGTTTGACAAAATACTGTATTTACATCATTGAGGCCAGTGATGAGGGTTATACAGTGGGGGGAAAAAGTATTTAGTCAGCCACCAATTGTGCAAGTTCTCCCACTTAAAAAGATGAGAGAGGCCTGTAATTTTCATCATAGGTACACGTCAACTATGACAGACAAAATCAGAAAAAAAAATCCAGAAAATCACATTGTAGGATTTTTTATGAATTTATTTGCAAATTATGGTGGAAAATAAGTATTTGGTCAATAACAAAAGTTTCTCAATACTTTGTTATATACCCTTTGTTGGCAATGACACAGGTCAAACGTTTTCTGTAAGTCTTCACAAGGTTTTCACACACTGTTGCTGGTATTTTGGCCCATTCCTCCATGCAGATCTCCTCTAGAGCAGTGATGTTTTGGGGAAGTCGCTGGGCAACATGGACTTTCAACTCCCTCCAAAGATTTTCTATGGGGTTGAGATCTGGAGACTGGCTAGGCCACTCCAGGACCTTGAAATGCTTCTTACGAAGCCACTCCTTCATTGCCCGGGCGGTGTGTTTGGGATCATTGTCATGCTGAAAGACCCAGCCACGTTTCATCTTCAATGCCCTTGCTGATGGAAGGAGGTTTTCACTCAAAATCTCACGATACATGGCCCCATTCATTCTTTCCTTTACACGGATCAGTCGTCCTGGTCCCTTTGCAGAAAAACAGCCCCAAAGCATGATGTTTCCACCCCCATGCTTCACAGTAGGTATGGTGTTCTTTGGATGCAACTCAGCATTCTTTGTCCTCCAAACACGACGAGTTGAGTTTTTACCAAAAAGTTCTATTTTGGTTTCATCTGACCATATGACATTCTCCCAATCCTCTTCTGGATCATCCAAATGCACTCTAGCAAACTTCAGACGGGCCTGGACATGTACTGGCTTAAGCAGGGGGACACGTCTGGCACTGCAGGATTTGAGTCCCTGGCGGCGTAGTGTGTTACTGATGGTAGGCTTTGTTACTTTGGTCCCAGCTCTCTGCAGGTCATTCACTAGGTCCCCCCGTGTGGTTCTGGGATTTTTGCTCACCGTTCTTGTGATCATTTTGACCCCACGGGGTGAGATCTTGCGTGGAGCCCCAGATCGAGGGAGATTATCAGTGGTCTTGTATGTCTTCCATTTCCTAATAATTGCTCCCACAGTTGATTTCTTCAAACCAAGCTGCTTACCTATTGCAGATTCAGTCTTCCCAGCCTGGTGCAGGTCTACAATTTTGTTTCTGGTGTCCTTTGACAGCTCTTTGGTCTTGGCCATAGTGGAGTTTGGAGTGTGACTGTTTGAGGTTGTGGACAGGTGTCTTTTATACTGATAACAAGTTCAAACAGGTGCCATTAATACAGGTAACGAGTGGAGGACAGAGGAGCCTCTTAAAGAAGAAGTTACAGGTCTGTGAGAGCCAGAAATCTTGCTTGTTTGTAGGTGACCAAATACTTATTTTCCACCATAATTTGCAAATAAATTCATTAAAAATCCTACAATGTGATTTTCTGGAGAAAAAAAATCTCAATTTGTCTGTCATAGTTGACGTGTACCTATGATGAAAATTACAGGCCTCTCTCATCTTTTTAAGTGGGAGAACTTGCACAATTGGTGGCTGACTAAATACTTTTTCCCCCCACTGTATTAGTCCAGTTGCATATCAAGTTGCACATTATCATTATAGTTGCACTGAGGATGGTTTTATCAGATACAGGACATTTACTGCATTAGCATCAGTGATGAGTTAATTCGTCTCTGGCATGTAAATGATACTAGTAGACTGTAGGGATGTACAGTACTTTTCCTCCAAATGAGGTAAGAGTTATTGCCTCATGAATATGCAAACACATAATTTACCAATGTCTTTCTTTGACATGACCATATCCAGTCAAATATTACACCAATATTATAATGAAAGAATCTAAACTATTGGGGCTGGATGGATTTCAGCAATACAGGTCTGTCTACCTTCTCTTCCAACATTGCATTCCTAATTGGTCATTATTCTTCATATTAATATTTTACTACAAAACAGTTGAGACAGATTTCAGTTCTAACAACCTTACACAATTGTTCAGGGTTTATTAATAATTCATGTCAGGGAAACGGATATATTTGCCTGTTTCCCTGCACGCCCCTCCAATGTGTAGCTGGTGCCGTTTGACTACCGGAGACGCGCATAATTATTGAGTATCCGTCACGCAGGCCTATCACTGCGCGGTGTGTCACTGACCCACTATCGATTTGGAAAAGTTAATCATTAAATGAGCATGCAGTAAAGTTGTTTATATTAGTTCGTTATGTAAAATAATTCCAGCTGTGGTGTAATGTGTATCACTTCGCAAACACATTAGTAAATTACTAAAATTACGAATGACCCAATTGGGGAAACTTCCCCATATTATAAAACTCCATGGATGACATTCTCTTTTTCTTAATGTGATAGCTCGTTGTTATTATTCAAACGACTGCACTAGACAGGGTAGGCTCCCCTAACAGTCATCTTGTTTCTCTAGTACGCATGTTCTTTTTACAAGGCAATGCGGCGCGCAGCGGTCCCACTGTTTTTCTTGCGGAGGTAGTCGTAGGAGGGAGAGGAGATACGAAACATCAGCCCACGTGGGACCCGAACGCTCAATTACACATACCAGTGAATGCTGTTCCAAATACTTGTGTGGTCTGTTGTGAGAGAAAAAAAATCCACAAGTTTCACTAACGAAATGGTCTGGGGCTCGAAAGGCGCGCGCGCGTCTCCGCACTTCAGCACTCTGGACAGCACTCCACCAATTTGGAGACGGCGAGACTTGCAGGAGTTACGTTCTGCAATGAGGACCAATTGGAGATAAACGACGGCGCAATCATGGTGGATATTAAGTGTTTATTATTTACAGGTGTATGCAAAACGCAAGTGGACTTTTTGAAGTGAGACATGGACTTTGTGGAAATTATCTTCGCGTTGTTCATCATTGTGGTCGCAATTGTCTCGTTGTTGTCGAATTTACTGGTGCTGCTATGTTTTGTCCAGAGCACCGAGATCCGCCGACAGGTGCCGGGAATATTCACCATGAACCTGTCTTTCTGCAACATACTTATCACCCTTTTGAACATGCCATCGACATTGGTGGGGATTGTCGGAAACCAGAAGCCTTTTGGGGATTGCCTTTGCCATACAGTGAGCTTTCTGGAGACCTTTTTGACTGCGAACACTATGTTGAGTATGGCAGCACTCAGTATAGACCGGTGGATAGCGGTGGTCTTTCCCTTGAGTTACTCCAGTAAAATGCGCTACAAGGACGCAGTGATCATGATGTGCTACTCGTGGTTCCACTCCCTAACGTTTTCCGTAATCGCCCTCCTGTTCTCCTGGGTTGACTATAGCCACATATACGCCTCGTGCACCTTGTATTTGAGCAAGGAGAGCGACAGGATAAAGTTTACAATTTTCACCTTCGTTTTCCACGCCACTAGTTTCATGCTCTCCCTGCTGATCCTGTGCTTCACCTATCTGAAGGTGTTAAAAGTTGCACGCTTCCACTGCAAGAGGATTGACGTTATAACCATGCAGACCCTGTTCTTGCTGGTGGATATTCACCCAAAGTACGTATGTTCCTTTACTTATGAGGTGTGCAATGAATAGCCGTTACAATGGGCTGTAATAACTTTACAGTAGTCTATGATAAGAGGTTATAGTGTCAACCCTGAGGAAACATGCTTAGAAGAAGGTGTTAGACAAATTTAAAGTAATATTACATGTATCATGTTTTGTCATTTGTTCTGCTGGACTAATATCAGTTAATTTATATTTTCAGTGTGAAACAAAGGTGCCTGGTAGAGCAAAAGCGGAGGAAACAGAGAGCCACCAAGAAAATCAGCATTTTCATTGGGTCGTTCATCATCTGTTTTGCTCCCTATGTAATTACGAGGTAAGTGGATGTCCAGTAAACTGCGATACAGGCAGCTGAACAAACAGGTGTTTTATTCACCTACTGTAAACACAAACTATTAAAGGGGTATTATAGGGTTTATGAGATTAACACATCACCAGGTGAACAGACATTGCTCATAAAACTCAGTTAATGAACAGTAAAGATATAGGCTATAATCAAAGGGTATATACTGATTGAACAAAGTTCTGTTGAAAGGTGAGGCAATATGCATGCAAGGTTGAGCAATATGCATGCACAATGAGGATTTTTTTGTGTTTATGACAATGATCTCCATCTGTAACTGAAACGTCCTTCATTAAACAATCCATTATCTGTTATGTAATTTCACTGAACCATGAGATGATATTTATCACACAAAGATACTTTAATTTCCAAGAATGCACAGCATGACCTAGAGCAGTGGTTCCCAACTCCAGTCCTCGAGTACCCCCAACAGTACACATTTCTATTGTATCCCCAGACAAGAACACCAGATTCAACTCATCAACTAATCATCAGGACCTCAATTAGTTGAATCAGAGTTTTTTTTGTCCTGGGCTACAACAAAAATGTGTGCTGTTGGGTACTCGAGAACTGGAGTTGGGAACCACTGGTCTAGAGGGAATGCAGCATTGTAGTTATGGGCAGGTGCCTGACTAGGAATAACAGGGGTTCCATAGAACTCCACATACATTCAAGAGGAGTGTTTTTAGATGCATCAGTCTAGAACTTTACTTCAGAGCAATAGAAATTCCTCAGGGAACATTACATGAAATCTGATGCAGGTGTGGTATACAGTACTGGGCGATAGTTTAGATCCCTCAAACTCAACTCTGGACCTTGAAGCCAGTTCCACTACTTGTTTTAATTGTTCCCCTCTAATCAGGGACTGGTTTAGACCTGGCACACCAGGTGAGTGCAATTAATTATCAGGTAGAAGAACAGAAAACCAGCAGGCTCCGGACCTCGTAGGGTAAGAGTTAAATACCCCTGGTTTAGATAGTGTGTGGGCCTTTAGACCCCACCTGACCCCACCTGAGAGGTGGGGTCTAGAGGGGGGTGGGGGTGGAATAACGAAACAAATTAATGAGGAAAACTGTCACAGTAATTGGCATGACCTTTAACCCCCTGTGCACACAATGGAAACAGTCGGAATTGGTTGATGAAGGGGAAATTGCTGCTTATTGACAGGATTTATCCTATGTCACTCAACTGCATGCATAATTAGCATTTATGCATACCAGTGGTCAATATTAATGTAGCAATGTTCATCGTATACATATTTCTTATGAATATATATTTTCTGTACATTATTATTACCTTTAGTATAATGCTAGTCGGCCGATCAATAAAGCCACATTTATTCTATTCTACTTTGCAACCTCAGAGCCTCATGGCATTTCATAGAATAACAACTGAATTATCACTAAACACTCTCGAAAGCAAACAGAACAACTCGCTGCAAGATAAATACCATGCTTTGAAAATCGGATAACAATTGCCCTTTCTAAAAGGCTATTTTCTGAACTCTAACTTGGCCTCTGCCTTCTCCTCAGGCTGACGGAGCTGCTTCCCTTCGTGGGCATCAATCGCCACTGGGGAATCTTTAGTAAGTGCCTGACATACAGCAAGGCTGCGTCCGACCCCTTTGCCTACTCCCTCCTGCGTCAACAGTACAAGAAGGTCCTGGTTACCGTCATCAACCGGCTGCTGCGCCGTGACCTGTACCCATCGTCTGGCCACAACAGCTCTCTGGACACAGAGAACGACTACTCTCTCCAGAGGATCAGTTAATATCATAATTTTGGACATAACAAATATACCACAGACAGACAGCCCAAAAATAAAGGTTTCCTTAAGGGAAAAGGGCAGGAGCTGAGAGAGAGATGGTGAGAAAAAGGGATTGGTGGAGAAGAAAATAGAGTGAGAGAGAGGGAGATGTTATGGGAGGAAAAGCAAGAGGGGAGGAGGAGGTTACAGGGAGACAGGAAACCGGAGGGGTAGACGGAGGAAGAGGGCAAGGTGGACTGTGCAGAGAATGATCGCATTCCGGGACATTTGTTCAGGCGATATTGGTAAAAAAATGCGTTTAATGATCCATGGTTCACTGGCAGACCCACACACACGACACGCTGGCACAGAGCCAGAATCAAATTAATCAATGTTATTGAATCAGCCAGGGGCTCGGTCGAATCATAAACGGATGGATCACACCATTAGAGACTGAATTATTGTCTCTGCTGAGTAGCAAGGTATGCTAGTGGGCACTTATCTACCATAAAAACCTCTTTATAAAGAAGCTGACATAGCCAAATGTACAGACCTGTTGATACCTATATAGAACACAGGGACGTGCTATGAAGGTTATTAATATCTTGTTGACAGATGCACATAACATAAATGCTAGTAGCATATGTCGACAGACTGTGGGATGCGACGACTAACGAGGAACTTTGTTCCAGTACGCTGATTTTTCGTCACTGATCATTTGGACGAATCACTATTTTGCATCTTTAGCATTTCTGTAGGGGAAGGGACATTTGACCCATGGACTTGCATGAAATGGTTTAGAGTTTCCGTTTAAAGGGGTGGAGACTTCGCTAGTCTCGTTCGTACATTTTCTATTACTTCTCCCCCCCAGAACTTCATGGAGCATTTGACGCAATTACGCAAGATGTTAGTTCTGGGTGTCCGAGTTTACAAGGTTATGGACTGTCAACGGTCAATAGGGAGGATGGGAAAGCTTAGCTAGCTGCTGGCTGGTAGCCATTGCGACACTGGTGCAATTTCCACGGGCATCAAGCAATGTATTGAAGTTAAAATGTATCCTTTTCAATGAATGGTACTCGCGGTGGCAAGTACTGCTAAATAGATGGCCATGTTATGTAAACTATGGACTGTGTTAGACTCATTGGGTTAGACTACTACTGCAGTTGTTCACAATTTCTTAATGTCAATCACTGGATATTAATGCACTTTGTATTTCTCTCAGAGCTACTAGTTACAAGAGCCAAAGGCAAATATCATGTTTACTATGATATTAGCGTGTTGTAACTGAATGTACTACATAAAGATAATTTTGACTGAAATGGATGTGTAAAAAACTTTATTTTGCCAAATATCCATATAAAATGTCCAGTGATTGCTGGAAATGTTTATATGGATATTTATGAATACCTGATGTTATCTTTATCAAACTATTTAGCACTGTATCAGAAACGATAATATTTATTTGATCTTAAAATGAAAGAGATGTGCTATAGCAGAAGAATGTTATGGTCAAGTAAGTGCTTTAAACACGTTATTGTGTGTGTGCCAGAATTCAATATACAGTATGACTGTTTAGCTCCTATAGTTGCTTTATCAGAACTTGTTTCTTTAGATGTATAGACACAAAGTATTTAATTATGAAAGGCACTTGCTGTAGCCTACTTGTGTGAGTAAAGATGTTGGTGAAAAATGTGCAATAAAGCTGTCAAATAACAACCATCATTTGATACCAGGCCATATGAGATAACATAACAGAGACATTTAGAAGCATATCTCATATCTAATGCCCATCTGGCATTTCATGTTGGCTGATGATCACCAGCTGTTTTGCAGGTGCTAGAGGCTGGCTGGATACACCATTCAACATTTGTGATTGATATGATTGATTGCTGATTGGTTAAAAGCGTTCAAAGGATTGGCTCGAGCGATGACTGAAGGGCGGGAAAAATGCATCGAGCAAAAAGTATCTGCTCTATTTATTTTATTGAGCATATGCACTGTCCAGTGTCCACATACATGGCCAATAAATAAATGCATTTTAAGGTAAGAAATGAAATGTTAACATAGGTGGAAATGGTTGAAATGGGTGAGCAGAACTGTTTACAGTATAGGAATTGGAAACAGGTGTATTTCAGAAAGTTTATTTGCAGCGTGTTTTCAGGCACAATCCTCATACTCCAGCCTTGTTCCACTTCTGTCCGGAACATTTCCCTCTGTAATTTGATAGTCGACCGTAATACTTGTAATAAACTCAATTTTTAAGGGAAGCTCTCAACGTTTTCGTGTAATTAGGTGCAGTAGCCTTGAGGTGGCACATCACAAAATATGGAATTTATGCGGAGGAAAATGAAGACTATTGTTTTTCTGAATGCACTGGCAACGGTTATCTGGTGTGCCCCTCCGCGCTGCGACCCTGGAGACGAATTACTGGGTAAAGTACTCCGCTTTTTATGATAACACAGATGGTGTGTTTTGTTCACAGGACTGATGTGACAGTGTTTAGGCTATTCCTGAAATGTCTTTATCTACAAGGCAATGGTTGTGAGGAATTTTATCTAAAACATAGACATGCAAACTATTGTAGCCTATTTTAATTCACAAGCTGCCAACAGTAACAAAAGTAAAAGTAACCTCTGTGTCTTAAATGAGTGCGAAATAAAATGCTTATTTTTCTTTAGAGAATGATAGAATTGTACAGTTATATAGAAATATTGAGGTAGATATTCATCACTTAGAAAATGAATATGATTTTACTGACAGACCAACCTGGTCTCAGAGCATTTCGTATTATGTTGTAAGTAAATCCGAGACTCTCCATTTAGGATGATATGTTAAGTTTCGTATGGTATGTATTAATTTGTGGATGTCCATCACCCATTTCGAATGATATGTTAGAAAGTGCAATTCGTTTGCAATGTACAATTTGTAAATGTACAATATGTTACGAATTTGAAAAACGTATGATATGTTACAAATTCTAGCTACGTGCCTAAAGTTAGCTAGCTGGCTAACATGATCTAGGCTAGGGGTTATGGTTAAAGTTAGCCTTAGGGGAAGGGTTAGCTAAAAGGGTTAAGGTTAGGGTTACGGGAAAGGTTAGCTAACATGCTAAGTAGTTGCAAAGAGCTGAAAAGTTGCTAATTAGCTAAAATGCTAGAGTAACCATCTGTCTTATGTAACCATACCAAACGTAACATATCATACTAATTTGAGTGTCTAAGGAATTTATGTTTATTATGTTACGTCAAGTGTATGAGACCAGGCTGGACATGCAGACATTTGTGAGGAGAGATGGTAAAGCCAGATAGTGTTCATAAAAACAGACAATAGTCGCTAATAACGGTGGCGATAAATGTGATTCTGCCATCTAGTGTTGAATGTATGAAAGCAACTAACAATGGTTTGTCTTTCAGGTCGTTTTTGCAAAGGACCAGAACCTGAAAAACGTATGTATTTTTTTCCTCAAGAAACCCTTAAAACTCATGTAAATGTGATGTGTGTACAGGTTTGACTGACAAGGTTATTATGGCTTTAGGCGGGCAGTGGGATATTAAATGGATATTATGGCCTTAAAGCAACTCCGAGCTATCAAGTGTATTTTTGGATAATAAATAGCTATATGAAATATTCACATTTTAATCTCCAGACATAATAGAAATATTTGGACTTGATCATTTTTGGTACTGCAGAGAGGTAGCTATATATGAGATAATAAAAACGTTTTAGACAAAGGGATGGATTCTTGCATGCATATACATATTACCATTTAATATCAGGTTATGTACAATTTCCATGTCAAGGAAATGAGTGATGATTGCTTACTGAACATCTTAGCAATGTTTCTTAAATAAATGAACTGAGAACAAATGTAAAGATACAAGAGAAAAACACCTGGCCAATACCCCTAAACATACTGATTTTACAATGGAGAGAACATATCGGATAATATGAAACATCTTGCAAGCAGGTTGACACTACGCCCACCTGAAAATAATTTATAACAAATTCATAGTTCTAAAAATATTTTGCCACCCACATTGCAAAGCATCCAAAGGTCCCACCAAAGTTTAATTGCAAAGATTGCATAATATTATAAAACAATACATGGTATTATGAAGCATTGCATAATAATGTTATATTACAGATGTACTATGTGTATTTTATGCGTGAATGATTCAACATGGTAAGCTATGAGTCTACATTCAGATCAGTGACCATATAATACAGAATCTCTTCCATCTATCTGAACCTGCTCCTTGGTTGCCTCTCTCCCAGCCAAGTGCGTGGACATCATGATGAACTACTGCGACGACATGTCCTACACCCACACCATGTTCCCCAACATCCTGGGCCACAGGACCCGCGAGGAGGCCGAGCTGGGCCCCGAATACCTCCTCCTCAGTGTGGTCCAAAACCTGCTCAGTGGAGAGTGCACCCCAGACATCCGCATGCTTGGCTGCTCAGTACTGTTGCCTCGCTGTGAGAAGGAGAAGGTGTGTGGCTCACAAAGGATAACGTAATAACACCGGATAATGTCATAACTTTCATTAAAGTCATGTTTTCTTTTATAATGTAAGGTGCTCAAGCCGTGCAGGAGTACCTGCGAGGTGGTGAGGAAGAACTGTCGCCATGCCTTCGAGGGCATCAAGATGGCCTGGCCCTATTTCTTGGACTGTGACCGCTTCTTTGTCAGCGACCAGGAGGGCTGTTACGACCCACTGGAGGGCCTACGAGGTAACAACCACAGTTTAACTGGTGTCATATCATAAAAGTGACTATCAATCTATGATAGTGAATACAGTATGACAATAAGTACTGTACAGTAGGATGTGGACTCAAATAATATTTTCAGACATAAAACAATCACATGAGCAAAATGTACAACTGTGTGTCAATATTATTACAAGATTATATCAATCTAAAGAAAAATAACACCCCAACCCCCTCTAATAACAGAAGCATCCTTGGAGTGCCTACTGAGAAGGCCATTGCTACGCAGATTTATGACGGTCGCCAGGTTGCCACATGAGCCCTTGTGGTAAGGTGACCAGATGTCCCCCAATTTTTATTGGCCTGTCCCCGGCTCGAGTTGTCCCAGAAAATGTCTTCGATTAGCCCTCAGAAAGAAAAAAGCAATGTTGAAGTTAGATGGCTGATATTTCAATAATCAAACTATGTATCCAATCAGATTTGCATGTAAAAATGATGTCTAACACAGTACCAAACTTGTTTGCTCTCACTGCTTTGCCACTGACCTTTTATGAGAACTTTTGATCAGTGCCACATGAACAACCATGCCCATGGCCAGAAAGTGCATGCAACAGCATACAGCATACAGCATACATTCGGAAAGTGTTCAGACCCCTTCCCCTTTAGATTCATTTATTTTTTCCCCTCATCAATCTACACACAATACCCCATAATGACAAAGCGAAAATAGGTTTTTAGAAATGCTAGCAAATTTATAAAAAATTAAAAACAGAAATACCTTATTTATGTAAGTATTCAGACCCTTTGATATGATACTCTAAATTGAGCTCAGGTGCATCCTGTTTCCATTGATCATCCTTGAGATGTTTCTACAACTTGATTGGAGTCCAGCTGTGGTAAAGTCAATTAATTGGACATGATTTGGAAAGGCACACACCAGCCTATATAAGGTCCCACAGTTGACAGTGCATGTCAGAGCAAAAACCAAGCCATGAGGTCGAAGGAATTGTCGGTAGAGCTCCGAGACAGGATTGTGTCGAGGAACAGATCTGGGGAAGGGTACCAAAACATTTCTGCAGCATTGAAGGTCCCCAAGAAAACAGGGGCCTCCATAATTCTTAAATGGAAGAAGTTTGGAACCACCAAGATTCTTCCAAGAGCTGGCCGCCCGGCTAAACTGAGCAATCAGGGGGAAAAGGGCCTTGGTCAATGAGGTGACCAAGAACCCGATGGTCACTCTGACAGAGCTCCAGAGTTCCTCAGTGGAGATGGGAGAACCTTCCAGAAGGACAACCATCTCTGCAGCACTCCACCAATTGGGCCTTTATGGTAGAGTGGCCAGACGGAAGCCAGTCCTCAGTAAAAGGCACATGACAGCCGCATGGAGTTTGCCAAAAGGCACCTAAAAGATTCTCAGACCATGAGAAACAAGATTCTCTGGTCTGATGAAACCAAGATTGAACTCTTTGACCTGAATGCCATGCGTCACATCTGGAGAAAGCCTGGTACCATCCCTATGGTGAAGCATGGTGGTGGCAGCATCATGCTGTGGGGATGTTTTTCAGCGGCAGTGACTGGGAAACTAGTCAGGATCAAGGGAAAGATGAATGGAGCAAAGTACAGAGAGATCCTTGATGAAAACCTGCTCCAGATCCCTCAGGACCTCAGACTGGGCGAAGGTACACCTTCCAACAGGACAACAACCCTAAGCACACAGCCAAGACAACGCAGGAGTGGCTTCTGGACAAGTCTCTGAATGTACTTGAGTGGCCCAGCCAGAGCCCGGAGTTGAACCCGATCGAACATCTCTGGAGAGACCTGAAAATAGCTGTGCAGCGACGCTCCCATCCAACCTGACAGAGCTTGAGAGGATCTGCAGAGAAGAATGGGAGAAACTCCCCAAATACAGGTGTGCCAACCTTGTAGCATCATACCCAAGAACACTCAAGGCTGTAATCGCTGCCAAAGGTGCTTCAACAAAGTAAAGGGTCTGAATACTTATGTAAATGTGGTATTTCCGTTTTTATCAGTTTCTAAAAACCTGTTTTTGCTTCGTCATTATGTGTAGATTGATGAGGGAAAAAAACAAATGTAATCCATTTTAGAAGAAGGCTGTAACGTAATAAAATTTGGAAAATGTCAAGGGGTCTGAATACTTTCCGAATGCACTGTAGGCTACTAAATGGGTGATTCAAAAATTACTTCACAGGATTAAGAAAACTGTGGATGGGTAATCCATTTCTGTGTTAAAATTAATACAAGTAGCCTTTTTGAAAGGAATATAGCAAAAATGTATAGTTAAATATAGTTCCATGCCATTGTTTTTTATATTTTTGTGCAGCTGCCCCCACATAGTGTGATGGGTGATTTGAAGGAGTCAGGCGCAGGAGGGTAAATCACAGAACACAGAATTTATTCTGGAATACAGAGTTACGCAGAAATGCATCAAACAATCCAGTGCGCAAAACAGGTGCACTGGAACTAAACAGGCACACGGGGGAAAAACCCTGGCAATACAAAATACACAGAGCTCAACCGAGCTACACTCTCCTCACAGTAAACAATCACACACAAGGACAAGGGGGCAGAGGGAACACTTATACAAGTACTGATGAGGGGATATGAACCATGTGTGTGTAATAAACAAGACAAAACAAATGGAATGATGAGATGAGGAGCGGCAGTGGCTAGAAGGCCAGTGACGACGAACGCCGAAGCCTGCCCGAACCAGGAGAGGAGGCAGCTTTGGAGGAAGTCGTGACACGTAAGCTTTTGTGACCTAGAAAGGATCTATATTTGTAGCAACTATACAAAGCCCTCAAAAAGAACCCATAAGCAAGATGTTAGAGATTTGACAACTTCAATAACATCATGTGTGAGCCATATGGGAACACATACAAATGATGTCACTTTATATCCGCAGGCAATGCTGTTAACGTATCTGCCATTCATATCTTGACTCGCACAAGATATACTGTGTCCTTTTGAACAAATCTATGAATTCACACTGATAGGTGATAGACAACTGCAGTATATCATGTTCACGCAGAGAAGTGATCAGTCTAACTTGAGTTCAGTACAGTTTGTTTCTCTCTGTGGTCTGCAACCGACACACACTCCAGCTGTGTGATTGCTCTCTCTTCCTTTGTACTCTCTCTGTTTATCTCTACAGCTGCTCTTTGCTGCCATAAACAGGTTGCTACAGTATCCTATACCGACAAAATAACAGTTGAATGTTCATATAGCCATTTCCCTGAAATATATCATAGATATGAATTTACATATTATATATACAATATGATATGGTTATAGATATGCACACAGATGGTGGTACCAAATTTAGCATAACAGCTTTTAGTGTAGTATGAAATCTGTTTCCAAACGGATCTTGGATTCTAACTGAAACACAAGCTGATGTCTGGCAACCCTACTAAGCTTTATAATTATTTCCATGCTGATATTTCTTTTGAACTGATGTCTTTGGTCTTATGTCTCAACTTTGATTGGTTGCTTACCTTTTAGGTCTGGCACATTTGCCTAAATGAGCACATTTATATAGAAGTGCAGACCGGGGCCAGAATGTAGACTTTCCACTTTCTCTAATTCCTCAGTGTCCTGACATTTTACAGGGCTCTACTCAGCATGAGATGAAAGACTAAGGCCGTATGTAGTAAAATGGTATTCTGATATCCATCAAAGTTATTTAAGTGAGGCGGTTTATTGAAGCATGGTTATGCTTTCAAATGTTAACTTTTCTATGACATTGACTCAAGTCAAGCTTGCTAGTTAATTCAAAAGTGTCATAACTGGCTTGGAACACTATTGATCTTTACATGTTTGGCTACACTTTATAATAACTTTAACGAATATGCCATTATTATAAAATGTCACCATCTCGTCTTTATCATAGTAACACAGGAAGAAGCCCAGGCCAGTATAGGTAATACCCCTGAGGAGACTCATACTATCATCCAGTTCAGCTATCAGTCTAATGCCCAGATGAACAGCATCCTGAAGAAGACTGCAGCGCGATGCCCCGAAATCGCCACAACCTACAGCATCGGCCGCAGTGTGGAGGGCAAAGACCTGCTAGTGATTGAGTTCTCAAACAACCCTGGAGTACATGAATTACGTGAGTACAAATTGTCCTCAAATATACAGTACAGTGAGAGAGAGTACTGGGCTCAGAGTTCAACCAGAGAGTGTGTGTATTTTCTGATTGTTGCACTTGACTGTAAGCTGCAGTCTTGGCCAGGTTTCCCTTGAAAAACAGATAATTCATCTCAAGGGACTTTCTGGTAGAATAAATGTAATATAAGTCCCTATCCTGTTGCCTCATATCAACAGTTGAACCAGAGATGAAGTACATAGGCAACATGCACGGGAACGAGGTGCTGGGTCGCCAGCTGTTGATCTATCTGACCCAGTACCTGTGTTCAGAGTACCTGCTGGGGAACCAACGCATCCAGACCCTGATCAACACCACGCGTATCCACATCCTGCCCTCCATGAACCCTGACGGCTATGAGCTGGCTGCTGCTGAGGTCCAGGGCACCAACGACCCCGAGAATGAGGAGGTTGGTTGAATCAATGTTGTTGCCATGTTATTTGAACGTAATTCCAACATGATGGTGAATCAACATGGAAGACTTATTGGGTTTGAAAGTATACACACATTCTACCAGGTTTTTACCAGAATTCAACGGCAGGTCGGAATGTTACGTTTATTCAACACCACAGGAGGTTGGTGGCACCTTAATTGGGGAGGCCAGGCTCGTGGTAATGGCTGGAGCTGTAATGAATACTCAGGGAGTAAAAGGTGTAGATTCACGCACAGAGCGCGGCATGTGTTTATTTCGCCTTCGCAGAAGGCAGGAATCGTGGTCACAGGCAGGCAATGGTCATACACAGGTAGGCAAACAGGCAGGTGAATCAAAACTAGGACTGAAGACTATAACTGGTTCTCACAAACGAGCTAGGAAAAGGCTTAGTAGAGTCAAAACGAACAATACCTCACAAGGCACAAACAGAATGACCTGAACTAAATAAGGAGCTGATGAGACCAGGTGAGTAACTAACACAGGTAAAATCAATGAACAAAAATGAAAGACAGGGCTACGTTCAAGAACACAAAGAAACAGGGCTACGTTCAAGAACACAAGGTTGACTAAGAAAATAAATACAGAACCTTACAGGAGCAGAATAAGTGGAATGGTATCCATGTGTTTGATGCCATTCTATTAGCTACGTTCCGGCCATTATTATGAGCTATCTTCCCCTCAGCAGCCTCATGTTAGGCGACAACACCAATCAAATATCAATAATACAATATTCACTGCTCAATACTAACAGTATACTATCCACTGTATGAAACTCTACAGGCTCAGAACTACCACAGCTGGACCCTGGGTCGAGGTAACGCCCAGAACATTGACCTGAACAGGAACTTCCCTGACCTGACCTCTGTCGCCTACAGCCGCCGCAGACACCGGCATTTCCGTAGCGACCACATCCCAATCCCAGACGCTTACTGGTTTGATAAGGTACAGTATGAATTCCTATCCATTTACAGTGGGGAAAAAAAGTATTTAGTCAGCCACCAATTGTGCAAGTTCTCTCACTTAAAAAGATGAGAGAGGCCTGTAATTTTCATCATAGGTACACGTCAACTATGACAGACAAATTGAGAATTTTTTTCTCCAGAAAATCACATTGTAGGATTTTTAATGAATTTATATGCAAATTATGGTGGAAAATAAGTATTTGGTCACCTACAAACAAGCAAGATTTCTGGCTCTCACAGACCTGTAACTTCTTCTTTAAGAGCCTCCTCTGTCCTCCACTCGTTATCTGTATTAATGGCACCTGTTTGAACTTGTTATCAGTATAAAAGACACCTGTCCACAACCTCAAACAGTCACACTCCAAACTCCACTATGGCCAAGACCAAAGAGCTGTCATAGGACACCATAAACAAAATTGTAGACCTGCACCAGGCTGGGAAGACTGAATCTGCAATAGGTAAGCAGCTTGATTTGAAGAAATCAACTGTGGGAGCAATTATTAGGAAATGGAAGACATACAAGACCACTCATAATCTCCCTCGATCTGGGGCTCCACGCAAGATCTCACCCAGTGGGGTCAAAATGATCACAAGAACGGTGAGCAAAAATCCCAGAACCACACGGGGGGACCTAGTGAATGACCTGCAGAGAGCTGGGACCAAAGTAACAAAGCCTACCATCAGTAACACACTACGCCACCAGGGACTCAAATCCTGCAGTACAAGACGTGTCCCCCTGCTTAAGCCAGTATATGTCCAGGCCCGTCTGAAGTGCATTTGGATGATCCAGAAGAGGATTGGGAGAATGTCATATGGTCAGATGAAACCAAAATAGAACTTTTTGGTAAAAACTCAACTCGTCGTGTTTGGAGGACAAAGAATGCTGAGTTGCATCCAAAGAACACCATACCTACTGTGAAGCATGGGGGTGGAAACATCATGCTTTGGGGCTGTTTTTCTGCAAAGGGACCAGGACGACTGATCCGTGTAAAGGAAAGAATGAATGGGGCCATGTATTGTGAGATTTTGAGTGAAAACCTCCTTCCATCAGCAAGGGCATTGAAGATGAAACGTGGCTGGGTCTTTCAGCATGACAATGATCCCAAACACACCGCCCGGGCAACGAAGGAGTGGCTTCGTAAGAAGCATTTCAAGGTCCTGGAGTGGCCTAGCCAGTCTCCAGATCTCAACCCCATAGAAAATCTTTGGAGGGAGTTGAAAGTCTGTGTTGCCCAGCGACAGCCCCAAAACATCACTGCTCTAGAGGAGATCTGCATGGAGGAATGGGCCAAAATACCAGCAACAGTGTGTGAAAACCTCGTGAAGACTTACAGAAAACGTTTGACCTGTGTCATTGCCAACAAAGGGTATATAACAAAGTATTGAGAAACTTTTGTTATTGACCAAATACTTATTTTCCACCATAATTTGCAAATAAATTCATTAAAAATCCTACAATGTGATTTTCTGGAGAAAAAAAATCTCATTTTGTCTGTCATAGTTGACGTGTACCTATGATGAAAATTACAGGCCTCTCTCATCTTTTTAAGTGGGAGAACTTGCACAATTGGTGGCTGACTAAATACTTTTTCCCCCACTGTATATGCATGTTTGCATTGATTGTGTGGTGTTTATGCTACTGGATATGAACACATGTCAAATATCAAATGACAAATTCTTTACGTGTATTTTAGCATTAGGCCGGACAAAGTCGATTTACTGTTTAACTGATTTATTTTCTAGAAAAGTGAGGCAAAAAAAACAACAAAAAAAAACAAATTACCCCAATTGATACCAAGTGAGAGGGTTTTTCAAAAATAGTGGAGAAGGAATAAATTAGTACTTTACCACATTGTCCTACGCACCTATGCAAGCTCTAGGCCTATAGGCTTTAACAAAATATTAATAGACTAGGCTTTTAATTTGAAGAAAGAGGGACAATCATTCAAGTTAGGTCTGTCAAATGAATGTAGCTTTGGAAAAAGTTACTTTCAATCCGGCCATAGAGTATAGCCTATCTATCGTATAATCTACAGAATCATTTTTGTATTTAAAATGCACAATTAGAAGCATCATTCCGTTACAGAGCAAGCTTTATTAAATTTGAGGCCAGTATGCCTATACAGTCAATTCACTCATGGCATCCTCCTTCAATTGACTCATCCGGCTGCCAGGAAAAACCCCCACCTTGGAGACAGTCGACCACATCATTGTGGAGGTCCTGATCTGCGCGAAGTGTGTGCGTGCCACTGGCGATGCATTTTTCAGGATATGCGGGCTGTTCTCGGGGCGCTTGATAACTTCAAACACATTCCGTCTTGGTGTTGTCTGTCGGCCTTGGTGTTGTCTGTGGTCCTCTGTAGCTCAGCTGGTAGAGCACGGCGCTTGTAACGCCAAGGTAGTGGGTTCGATCCCCAGGACCACCCATACACAAAAAATGTTTTTATGCACGCATGACTGTAAGTCGCTTTGGATAAAAGCGTCTGCTAAATGGCATATTATTATTAACTGTAGGTTATGAATCGCAAATCACCATACAGCTGACACACTTAGATGTCATCACTCATTTTGAATTCAATTTGGTTTTCAAAAATACTATCAGCTTGCACTGGGTCTTTGCTGAGGAATGCCCTGATCTCTGGCCAGTCGTTCGGTTCGATGATGACATTGTTTAGGTTATTAATTGCTTCTAAAAGGTCAGAAAATGATGCATTAACCATGAATTTAACCGACTGTTTGTTTACAACGAGATGCCCCACCACGTTTAACCTGGACACATAAATAGTAGGAATTTGCGCCGACCTCAGCTATGCTGGCATGTCAGAGAAATGAAACATCTGCACATACAGGTCCTGAGCATGTGTGTCACTGTCCAATCAGAGGCCCGAACATAACAATCGTGTGATCTGAAGTGGTTTGGTCTTTGATTCTCACGTATCAGCTTGGGAAATCCTCAAGGTAGAGCAGACAGTGCATTACAGTATAAGACCAAAGCACTGCATAAATTGAGAATGGTGCAATTGTGGCCTGCAATTTGGGGCATTCCTGCATGTGGGCATTCCTGCATCTGCAGGAACCCCTCTTTATACTTCTATTGGTCACATTTTAAGCAAGGACAGGTGGGAGGTGGGCACGCTCCAGTACAGTAGGTGGCGTTAATGCACAATAACGTTGGATGCCAGCCGCCGATAAACCCCACAGAAGAAGGGGTGGGGGTGACAATGGTAGCTAGCTAGCTGTACACCGGTAGACAGTGTCCCTCGTCCCTGCCTGTTGGGCACTGTTTTTCCGCAGGTCTATTAACAACAGTGACGGCAGGTGTTCGGCAGGAGTGAGCGAAGTACACTGTGTGCTAGCTTAGCCAGCTAGTCCGGTACACAGCAGGTGGGAGGCATGAAGATGTCGTGCTCGTGGGAGCGGGGGAGGGGGCATTCATGCAGGACCCAATTGGATGCTCGATGGGGGGTGTTCATGAAGGAACCAATGGGATGCTTGAGGGGCGGCATGCAGGAACACCTCGAATAGCGGGCTGCAGTTGCACACTATTGCATAAATGTGCAAAATAATTATACATATTTTAAAAGAAACGTGAAGCGGGGCATCCGTTAAATAGTAAATCAAGTTTGTGTGTCCTTATTGATGTATCGTCAATATTTGATATCAAGATATTTAATTGAGCTTTGAGCTTCACCAATCATTTCCTGTTGTCATGCCATCATCATTTTTTGTTGTGATATGACCAGCTGAAGATGGTGACGTATGATTTATTAGCCTGTCTGTATGAGTGTTATATAATACAGGTAGCTCCAGAGACATACGCAGTCATGAAGTGGATCAGGTCCATTCCCTTTGTGCTCTCAGCTAACTTCCACGGAGGGGAGCTGGTGGTGTCCTATCCCTACGACCTCTCCAAACACCCACTAGAGGAGAAGATGTTCTCCCCCACGCCAGACGAACAGGTAAGCAGGACTGACAGCAACATGCACTCTCCACTCAAACATGGACAGTACTCTCCAGAATGCACAGCACTCTATGACCTGAAGTGTGTCTATTACAGAGAGCTGACCAATTGATTGTTCATGCTCTGCATTTATGATTATTCATTACCACATCCTTGAGAAAAAAAAATGTTGGGGGGAGATTTCCTTTGCAGTCATATAACAGACATGTAAAGGAAGTGAAAAATGTATCTTAGCTGCTAACAAATCAAACTAGCATAACAAATCTATTTAACAGTAAACAGAACTAGCCATTATCTTTCTTATGAATGACAAAGACATATGTTTTATTTTTTGCTGCAGGTATTCAAGCAGATAGCGAGAACATATGCAGATGCCCATGCCACCATGTCAGGAAATAACTCTGAAAGGTGTGGGAACTTTGGCAGCATCGGCCAGGACGGCATCATTAATGGAGCAAAGTGGTACAGCTTCGCAGGTGGTAAGTTTAAAGTAACTGTCCAGTGTTTCCAGATTTCTATTAAACATGTCCTATAAATATAGCTGCGAGCAGCAATGAACGGGGTTCACAGGATGACAGAAAGGACAGAAGATCAGTTGGATAACATAGCAAGCACACCATCATGTAGGAACTATCTTCCTTTATGTGCAATCAGTGAAAGCAGTACCATGTTTATCTCTCAATACCACAAGGATGACGCAAGTTAAGTTTAGTATAGTGCTGTAGGTTGAAATGCAGAAGGTATTCATTCTTAAAGTAATTACTTAATGTATTGAGTTTATATATAATTCTGGGGTCAATTTGACTAATATTAAGATTTGTTGAATATTTTAAGCTTATTTTCATGATATTTCACATTGTTTTGTTTGCATAATTTATACCTAGCATTCATTTGCATGAGACAAAGTCCACTTGATCAATAGTTATTGCTCTAGTATCCTATGGTGCCACTGGTGCCAATGACATCAATAGTGCCACCAACTGGTCTGGTGAAGCCATCTAAGGTTGCAGTGACTTTATATCTTATATCCACACAGCTTCTAAGGACATATACATAAGGTTTACATACCAAATTACACGGCTCCATGTCCATCACTTCAGTTCTTATATCCCTGGTGTGATATGGTGCCATTTAGTGGTGTAGCGTGGCCGACTTTGAATGCAGCAACTAATAATTCTGAAATTCATCAGAGGCTAATTCATTGAGTATATCTATTAGGGAAATGCATCTCTCCTTACAAGCATGATTTGTTACGTATCTAGATACATGTGCTCCGATACGATACAGGAACGATACTTTTAGTTTTAATCGATTCGGTGCAATTCAGTTTGATTAGTGGAACGAATCGATGCGATTCGGTTCGATATGATTTGTGTGTGTGTAGGGACTGAGCTGAGCCATAGGGCAGACTGAGCATCTACCACTATCAGATAAGGGTGGGCTATTTATGTTTTTGTCCCCCTACTTTTTATCTGAAATCCTCATCACCCACTGATGAACTTGTCATATAGCAGATTAAAATGTTTTGAGCTAGTAATATGTAAATATTTAGTTAGATGTGCAATCAGCAAGATGTGAGTTGTGTCCACTCAAGATGAGTTGTGTCCACAATTTTCTACAGTGCATTTGGTAACAATGACACAGCAAATTACATTGGTTGTCCCTCAATTAATAAAGCCTATGATTTCATATTGCGAAATCCATTTTATAAACATCTGAATGCTGAAGTAGCAGATGTAGCCTATGAATATTAGAACAGAGATAGGGTAAGCCTACCTCTCGTTGGCACGAACAGCTGCGTCTCCCGCACTGTGCGCACAGTTGTTATCTGACTTGTAGATCAATCTCATACACAGTTAAATTCATATAAGTTTGATAGGCTGAAGGATAGGACGCATCAATTCAGTCACAGCAGATTAGCGGTATTTTCAGGATAATGTTTCGTAGCATTTTAATCGATTTTCTTACCGTTTGGATCGGTTTGGGCTCCCGCGGACCGAAGCACTTGTATCTTAAACATTTGAACCGGGATTAAACATTTGAACCGGGACCGATGCATATCGGTGAATCGTTACATCCCTATTACTTATGATTCATGAGAATATTTTTTGTTTGTGTAATTTTTTGTATTAGCATAATTTTCTAATGCTAAAAAGTATGTGCTACTGTGCATCTATAGGTACAGTGTAGCCATATTTGAATGCAGCAACCATTCTTTCTCAAAACCATTAAAGACTGATGTAATGAGTCTAAATACAAAATCTGGAGTGAGTTGTTAATACTTTCCTTAATTTTTTGCGATATCAATACCATATTCAGTGTCTTACATCCATGATAGCGAGTTTCAAGTTGATAGGCCACTGTGGAGTAGATTTTACAGTGGTTTAAATGGACACGTAAAATCAGATTTTCTCAAAATAAGACATTCCAAATATTTTAGTACATTAGCATATGTGCTCATATGCATCTACTGGTATTGTGTGGCCATTTTTGAATGCATCAACATTATTTTCTCAAACTCTTTAGGGACTACTGTTATGAGTCCAAAGACCAAATTTGGAGGGAATCTGACTTTTAGATTTGAGATTTTCTCTTCTTTTTCTTTTTTTATGCTGAACAAAAATATAAACTCAACATGTAAAGTGTTGGTCTCATGATTCATGAGCTGAAATAAAAGATCCCTGAAATGTTCCATAAGCACAAAATGTTTCATCATGATAATGCATGGCCCCATGTTGCAAGGATCTGCACATAATTCCTGGATCCTGGTACTCACCAGACATGTCACCCATTGAGCATGTTTGGGATGCTCTGGATCGACGTGTACGACGGCATGTTCCCTTTAATATCTAGCAACTTTGCACAGCCATTGAAGAGTAGTGGGACAATATTCCACAGGCCACAATCAACAGCCTGATCAATTCTATATGAAGATGTGTCGCCCTGAATGAGACAAATGGTGGTCACACCAGATACTGACTGGTTTTCTGATCCACGCCCCTACCTTAAAAAAAAAGAATCTGTGACCACCAACAGATGCATATCTGTATTCCCAGTCATGTGAAATCCATAGATTAGGGCCTAATGAGTTTATTTCAATTGAATGATTTCCTTATATGAACTGTAACTCAGTAAAATCTTTGAAATTGTTGCATAGTTGCGTTTCTATTTTTATTCAGTGTATTTTAAGCATTAGCGTTACATAGTCAAAGAAGTTAATTATTAATAGTTTCCTTATTCTTTAAGATATCAATGCCAATCTAACATGGTTCATCATGGTAATATTTTTGATGACCCTAAAAAGTTGCAAGTTGATAAGCCATTGTGAAGTGGATTTTAAAAGGATTTAAATGGACGCATAAAATCTGATTTCCTGATTTATCAATAACTCAGCCATCTCTTAACCAATGCCTTAGCTTTTCTCAAACTAAATTAAGAGATGTACCATGGGCCTACTGCATAACACATGTGGTGTTATTTGGACTTATGGTTCATGATACGTTTTTCAAAGGTTTTCCAAAATCTATACTGACAGACTTTATGGGTCCTTGATACAAATTTGTTCAGCATCAGGAAAGACGCCTACATACAACGTTTCAAGTCTCTAGGTCAAACGGGGCGACAGATATGAGGGTTTAAGTGAGACTGCTTATAACAGCGCCACTTATAGGACAATCGGTGCCATTATGTCTGACCAAGTTACTTATGGCCTCAAGTTTCTGTGTGCCAAATTACAAAAAAAGTTACCAATCTATGCTTGAGTTATTTGACCATATCAAGGAAAACAATTATAATAATAACAATAGGTTTCACAGCTTCGCTGAATGGAAAAGTTTTCCTTCCAAAAAAAACTAATCTCAGGAGCATGACGTCATCCTCTATGAGAAAATTGCAAACATTTGAGGGGTTTTCTTTGTGTTTTTTTTTCTCCACTTTATGCTTTGGCCACAAATAGCATATAGGAGTGTAAGATGAGTCAACAACATTATTTGGGTATGAGTTAACAGAATTAAAAAAAAAAAAACTTTTATAAGTTAGATTTTCAGTGGACATTTACTTTAAAAAACATGGTCAAATCAAAAACAGTCTAGGACTGTTGAAGTTAATTTATAACATTAGATTAAAATAGCTGATGAAGGCTCAGTGACAACCGGAATTTACTAAGCAAGTTGTATTATGAAGTATGAATGCCACCTGGTGGTGCTTCTAGTTATTGTCTTTCTACATTTTTATTTTTTATTTTTTTATTTCACCTTTATTTAAGCAGGTAAGCCAGTTGAGAACAGGTTCTCATTTACAACTGCGACCTGGCCAAGATAAAGCAAAGTAGTGCAATAAAAACAACACAGAGTTACATATGGGGTAAAAAAAAACATAAAGTCAGAAATACAACAGAAAATATATATACAGTGTGTGCAAATGTAGCAAGTTATGGAGGTAAGGCAATAAATAGGCTATAGTGCAGAATAATTACAATAGTATTAACACTGGAATGCTAGATGTGCAAGAGATTATGTGCAAATAGAGATACTGGGGTGCAAAAGAGCAAAATAAATAACAATATAGGGATGAGGTAGTTGGGTGGGCTAATTTCAGATGGGCTGTGTACAGGTGCAGTGATCGGTAAGGTGCTCTGACAACTGATGCTTAAAGTTATTGAGGGAGATAAGAGTCTCCAGCTTCAGAGATTTTTGCAATTCGTTCCAGTCATTGGCAGCAGAGAACTGGAAGGAATGGCGGCCAAAGGAGGTGTTGGCTTTGGGAATGACCAGTGAGATATACCTGCTGGAGCGCAGACTACGGGTGGGTGCTGCTATGGTGACCAATGAGCTAAGATAAGGCGGGGATTTGCCTAGCAGTGATTTATAGATGGCCTGGAGCCAGTGGGTTTGACGACGAACATGTAGTGAGGACCAGCCAACAAGAGCGTACAGGTCACAGTGGTGGGTAGTGTATGGGGCTTTGGAGACAAAACGGATGGCACTGTGATAGACTACATCCAATTTGCTGAGTAGAGTGTTGGAGGCTACTTTGTAAATGACATCGCCGAAGTCAAGGATCGGTAGGATAGTCAGTTTTACGAGGGCATGTTTGGCAGCATGAGTGAAGGAGGCTTTGTTGCGAAATAGGAAGCCGATTCTAGATTTAACTTTGGATTGGAGATTCTTTATGTGAGTCTGGAAGTTGAGTTTACAGTCTAACCAGACACCTAGATATTTGTAGTTGTCCACATACTCTAGGTCAGACCCGTCGAGAGTGGTGATTCTAGTCGGGTGGGCGGGTGCTAGCAGCGTTCGATTGAAAAGCATGCATTTAGTTTTACTAGTGTTTAAGAGCAGTTGAAGGCTACTGAAGGATTGTTGTATGGCATTGAAGCTCGTTTGGAGGTTTGTTAACACAGTGTCCAATGAAGGGCCAGATGTATACAAAATGGTGTCGTCTGCGTAGAGGTGGATCTGAGAGTCACCAGCAGCAAGAGCGACATCATTGATATACACAGAGAAAAGTGTCGGCCCAAGAATTGAACCCTGTGGCACCCCCATACATGAATGGATTATGGCAATGGTGAGTTTGTAGTTTCTTTCACTGGTACGTATTTCCTCTTGTCATGTGGCCAGGTATGCAGGACTTCAACTACCTCCACACTAACTGTTTGGAAGTGACAGTGGAGTTGGGCTGTGATAAATTCCCAGCTGAGGAGGAGTTATACACAGGCTGGCAGGACAACAAAGAGGCTCTGCTCACATTCATGGAGTCGGTGAGAGACCTTAAAGCCAGCAATTCATTCCAAAACATCCCCCAACCAACCCTTCTGTTTTCAATCACTCCTTTTCACAAATCTGAGATGACTTTTCCACTAACTCTGCTTCTCAATGTTTCTCAGGTCCACCGTGGAATAAAGGGAATAGTAAAGGATGCGGATGGGAATGGAATCAAAGGCGCAAGGATATCTGTCAGAGGAATAAGGCATGACATCACAACAGGTAATATCTATAGTCAGCCTTACAGATTGCGATTGGTCATTTTCATTGAATGCTTTGGGAATCTAAGCGGTAGTTATTAGATGAATACATAGCTTTGAGGATTTTAGTCTCAAGTAGTTTCATTTTCTATAATACTAAAGCTCTAAGAGATCCCATTTTAATTGTGTAAAATAACAGTCACGTCCTATTTGAGATGTCAGGCTGTGTGTAACCTATTGAGTCAAAATACCTTCTCTCCCTCCATTCCTCCTCTCTTTCTAGCTGAAAACGGAGACTACTGGCGCCTGCTAACTGCTGGCATCCACATCCTGACTGCCTCTGCACCAGGCTACACCAGAGCCATGAAGAAGATCCACCTCCCGGCACGCATGCAGAAAGCAGGCCGGGTGGACTTTGTTCTGCAGAAGGCTGTGGTGAAGCCTGACATAGAGGAGGACTATAACATCCCGTCCATGGGGACCTATGAGCGCTTTGACCCCTACAACCAGTTTGAGCGCTATGCCATTAGTGAGCAGAACCAGAATAGAGAGGAGAGGCAGGAGAAACCGTGGTGGTGGAGCTACTTTAGCCGCGCCCACGGATCCGCCCCCACCTGGCTTCTCAGAATTGATTAGAGCTCCTCCCCTCCAATAAAATATAATATTTTATGGCTATTTCTATGGTTCCCCTTCGTCCTATAGCCCCCTTTCTCAACTCCGGTCCCCGAGTACCATCAAGGGTTGCACATGTCTGTTACAACTCAATAATAGCACACAGTACCCTGGCGCTTGTAACACCAGGGTAGTGGGTTCGATCCCCGGGACCACCCATATCTAAAAATGTATGCACACATGACTGTAAGTCGCTTTGGATAAAAGCGTCTGCTAAATGGCTTATTATTATTATTATTATTATTATAATTCAATTAATCAAGGGCTTGATAATTAGTTGTATCACGTGTGCCTGTATAGGGCTTGAATAAAAAATGTGCAACCCTGGGGTTACTCGGGGACCAGAGTTGAGAACACTGCATTACAGGATCAAAGACAGGCTACTATTTGAGTTTAATATGATTTACATAATGCTATCATAAAAGTGACACATTTTAACGTTACCATTATTATCCGTTGCTTCAAACTTTTCATAACTGAAGCAAAAGAGGAAATAGCTAGTTGGCTGGCCATCAAGTTGTTCATGATAGCTATATCTAAGCTTAATAAGGCATAGTTAATGTAAAGTGTTTTCTCCTAAAGGTAGCCCCTATTCTCAAGCTTTTACCCTGTTATACTGCTTCACTTTATGACCATAATGCAACACAGGAAGGTTAAAAGGCTCAAACCTTTTGGCTCTCCACCCGCACATATTTATAAGTGTTTATAATAAAACATGATTTAATAACATTCATTGTTAACTATTGCTACTATTGGCTCTTTGTATGTTACATCAAAGTGAGACACAATGTTAACACATTATCTTCAGTTATATTTGACCTCCCTTTAAATCTTCCAAAATGAGGTAAGTTTAAAAGTTGAATTCTTATAATACTATAAAGTATATCATTCTCAGACAGTGACTGTCCCAGTTCCATTTTACAATAAGTGTCCCTAAAACGTGTTTACATGGTAGTAAATGGGACAGTCTCTTTAAAATATATAATGAAACAGAAATGGCCATAAGAGGGCAGCGTAATTCCACTTGTTGTCGCCTATGTTACATGTTCAACTGAACTGCCATCCCAGGCAAGACAACCACCCCAGCCAACCCCATACTGCATCCCCCCCTCTCTACCACATGACCACGTATAGCATCTGTTCAAGTAGAACCAGAGGCAGTGATATGCCAGTCTGTGGTACCAGTCAACCATGCTTTATGAACTAGAAAGTATGTCATTTCACATAGCGCTCAGCATCAATTTACTCTTGTGGATCTAGTTGTTATCTTCAGTATTTGTCTTACATTTTACCTAGATATGAATTGATCTGAAACAAAATGTTCAGTCATATCTTGTAATGTCTTGTTTTGCCACCGATGTCACAATTGATGTTAACTTGTGAATATCATTCCGCTAACCTCTTTACAGGTCTGCAAACACTGTGCCTGTGCCTGGAAAGGAGAGAAGAATCGACTTTGTTAATGGTAAAGGATGCTGTATAGGCTTGCAATATCTTACATTATTTAATACCATGGACACCACTCCACAGAATGCAGCTAGCAATGAGAATAAATGCTTTCTTCAATCTTCCCTCCACACATTTGAGCTGATGTTCAGTTATGATTAGTAAACGGAGGCCTAATCTGATTTGTGTTTGTGTATATTTCCAGATGTCAGCACTCCTGACATACAAACAGTTGACCACTGTCTGCTGTACTTACTAGGCTGTTGTTCGTTGACCCAATCTGACCAAACATCATCTCCTTGGATCACAACCCTAGACCAAACCATGGCCAACACATCACTCATTGAGCCGCTGCTGGTAAGAATTTATAAGCACTTCAATAATGCATAAATATACATTATTTTAAAGGGATTCTTCACACAAATTATGAAATTACTTGTGTGTTTCTTTACCTTGAATGCATTGGCAATGGGTGATTGTGACCCACAGTTAGCCATACATGGCTTCCCACAGCCCCTTTTAGCATTCATGACAAAAAAATATATTCGAATGGATGGACCCCAATTAGCATTTTGTTATTTGCATGCACAAATCATACATGTTGCATAGTAAAATAAATGATGAGTAATATTGTAATTTAGGTGGTGTATCCCTTTTAGATAACCCGATGGCATGGAATTATCTCTCTTGCTCCACAATGTTGTGCATTTATCATTCATGGAATTCAGTCTATTATAAAGAGATAACACATAACATTTACGTTTTAGTTATTTAGCAGATGCTCTTATCCAGTGCATTCATCTTAAAGCTACATGTAACCTTTTGGGCGACCTGACCAAATTCACATAGAAATGTGAGTTATAGATCTTTCATTCCCATTGAATGCAAGTCTACGATGTGGTAGAGCTGTTCTATGTGCGCTATTTCTATGCTTCCCGTTCTTAAGTTTAGTTTTTGAGTCTTTTACTTTCGGGTTTTGTACACCAGCTTCAAACAGCTGAAAATACAATATTTTTGGTTATGGAAAATATATTTCACAGCAGTTTAGATGGAACAATGATTCTCTACACAATGACTGCTTGTTCTGTTACATAAACTGAAATTAGGCTAACTATTATAATTTTAGCAACCAGGAAATGGCGCAGCGATTTCTGCATAGTGCATCTTTAAAATAGCTAGGTGGGAGAACCACATACAGGTAACTGCCATAATTGAAACACTTTAGTAAATGAGGGATACAAAATATTTTGAAATCAGTTTCTTCCACACAGGTGTGGTTCCTGAGTTAATTAAGCATTTAACATCCCATCATGCTTAGGGTCATGTATAAAAATGCTGGGCAGGCCATTATTTTGGCTACCATGGCTATGCCCCCATAGGATGACAATGCCCCCATCCACAGGGCACGAGTGTTTACTGAATGGTTTGATGAGCATGAAAATGATTTAAACCAAATGCCATGGCCGTCTCAGTCACCAGATCTCAACCCTATTGAACACATATGGGAAATTCTGGTGCAGCGCCTGCGACTGTGTTTTCCGCCACCATCAACAAAACACCAAATTATGGACTCATGGATGAATGGTGTCTCATCCCTCCAATAGAGTTCTAGACACTTGTAGAATCTATGCCAAGTTACATTGAAGCTGTTCTGGCCCAGGGTGGCCAAGCGCCCTATTAAGAGACTTTACGTTGGTGTTTCCTTTATTTTGGCAGTTACCCGAATCTCAATAATAGTATGTAAATTTTTTCTCAATAAAGTAGCTATCTGCAAAGTCAGTGCTAGTAGGAAAAACATAATAAAGTGCAAGTGTTATTTCAGGAAATGCAAGTGAGTTTTTCTTTTTTTGGGGGGGGGGGGGGGGGGGGGGTTCTATGGGATTATTTAACATACACTTTGAAGAGGTAGGGTTTCAGACGTTTTCGGAAGATGTGCAGAGACCTTGCTGTCCTGGCAGAACTGAGTACTTAGGTTGGTGTGTAAGGTTTGAGCATAGCCTGAAGGAACTCATCTACATGGAATTAGGGTACTATAGATTAGAACAGAGTTTATTAGGCTTTGTTTAAGTCCGGGGTATAAGCAGGATAATCAACTCCACTTCTATGGAAATATACCACTTCCCAATTTATGCCTCGGGAGCCGTATCACCTCCTGCGTCATGGTATATTTCCATAAAACTGCACAAAGCATCATTGATGATCCTGCACAAAGCATCATTGATGATCCCTTACATAACACAATAAAATATAGCAGAAAGGTTTCAAAGAAAAGAGCACTGTGTGTGGACACGGTGGACACAAGCACTGGAGGCCTACCGACTCATACTACACTGACATTAGGCTGCTCCTGTCCGTCTGACCGGACTGATGCTCAAGACAAACTGAACAGTGTGCACTGTTAAAACTGCAATCTCATGGGCCTGAGGCCAGCCAAGGCCAGCCAAGGCCTTCCTCTCTGACTATGAGAGAGGGAGTTATGGGAAGAAGGTCACATGCTTCCTAGTGGGTCTGAGGACAATCCTATATGGCATTGACCTGTTTGCCTTGCTGGGACCTGCTCTCCCCCAGCTACCCATGTGAGGTGGGGTCCTGGGTCACCAGTTACTAAGGAAGGCTGAGAAAGTTGCATGGAGCTGCCCTTCTCTGCTATGTTATATTAGCATCAGGCTGCTTAGGCAGGTAGAGGCTATTTCAAAGTAATGCTTCGGCTCAGTTTAATTAATCTGCTGCGTTTATTCCCAAAGCAGCTGTAATACATCTCTCCTCAAGCCATATCTACTTTAGGACTGATTATGAGCACAGCTGTCTACTCTAAATAGTTACAGCTTTCAGGTAAACTGAAACTGAAACTGAAGTATTTCACTATCAGTGTTTAGATTCAATGCTATGATCATGTTGCTAAATAGGACTGTAGGCCTACTAGGGATGTAACAATGAGTTTGAACCTTTGTTTTGTTCAATGTCTTTTTTCTCTTGTTTTTCTTCAAAACAAAAACAAAATAAGACGTAATTTATGGTACCATCAGATCATGTTTTTGAATTCAATTCAAAACCCAGACTGGTGGTGCCTCTGAATGTGAATGGGATGGGGCATGTGAAAGGGTTATTTGGGGCATAACCACAATCCCCTAAATAACCCTTTCTTGTTGAAAATAATGAAATGAACTCAGATGCCCCCACAGTCAAAACAAAACAACTTTAAAACGGTGGTAGGGATGTGCCTTTAATGTCCAGTCCACTATTTCACTCAAACCCTCCACCCCATTCACATTCAGAGGCACCACAAGTCTGGGTTTGGATAGTGGAGCTCCGAGTCGCTCCTCTCAAACTTTTCCTGCGGCCTCATTGTTCTTTACGTGGTACCACTGAAGCCCTGTGATTGTGGCTAGATTAACTTTTTATGGGCTTCACAAGGGCGATTCACTGTGCTCAGCCAAACTAACATAATTGCAAAAACAGCATTTGATTTCCTAATAATGGCTCAGTGTCACGTCCAATTCAGTCTGCTTGTTCAGCGGCAGCAATTACTGAATCGTACATGTGCAGACAACTTCTCTAGCGGGCGATAATAAGCCACTTTCTTTGTTACAGACCCTGAACAAACTTGGGTGAAACACGTGAAGCAGAGATAATGTGCCAAGTCGAGCGTGAGCGCATACAAAAACCAGCAGATCGTTCGTTGTCCAAAACTCTTCAACTACAA